AGCCATTAAAGCGTCTATTAATACTGGATTCCATGATTGTTATTGCGGATCACTGTGCCTGGATCAGAGTCAGAGTCAGAGCAGACCAAGACCAATCCGGGACAGACTTTAATGGCAAGTCATTTGTTTCGTTGCACGTTCTACTGCCCGCTGGACTGATAAGCGGAGTGCCGTCTGCGTCTGTCTGTGCCTGATAAGACAGCCTCTGCGGCGACCCCAGGGCGGCGTCTCCCAGTCAAGTGCAGGCAATCTCCACCTGCCAACGACCGAGGTTAGCCGTGAATCCACGCAGGGGGGACTGCCACCACCTGAATGGCAACAGGTGATCAAAATGGAAGACGTCATTCGGACGCACAGCGCTCCTGAATAACAGGATAAAGTGCTCCGTGCAGACTTACTGTAATTACCCTTAAGTACTGCTTATCTGGAACATAAAGTTTTAATTGGAATGTGCGTGAATTGTATGATCGGGTCAGAGATCCCCCATTATCGCTGCTATTCCCCAGAGTGGGAGCAACGGAGAGAGCGGCCGGGAGCCGGGAGCCGGGAGCCGTAAGTCGGGAGCCGGGCAGCCGAATCAGCCTCAGCCTCAGTTTCAGCTCCAGCTCGAGGGCTTAGCTGATAGCCTTTCCGTTATTTTGATTTCATATATTTTGTTTTCATTTCATTGCGTTCCGCTGGCCAAGAGTCGTGATAAGTGATTGTAACACCAGTGTCCAAAGCGCTTAGATTTCGAGTCAAACGGATCGCGTGTTTTCTCCCGAACAGACGTGGTTCTTTCTCCGGCCAGTTGCTGTCTCCATCTGACTATTCGTCTTGGTACCAAGATCCTCTCTGAACCTCCCTTAAGAGATGAAGCCTGGACAGAAGCTGAGAGTAGCTCTCTATGTGTTTCTCGGCCTGACGAGTCTCTATCTGTTTGTGCTGTCCTGCATCTGGGACTATCGCGTAGTGGTGGCCCGGGAGCATGTTCGCTTCCGCCAGGAGATGCCCACCATGGACAGCTGGGTGAACTCTCCGTTTGGTAAGCTCAAGAGCTACCTGTTCAACGTGACGAACGCCGCCGAGTTTGAGAGCGGGCGCGACAAGCGGCTGAAAGTGGACCAGATCGGACCGATCACTTACAAAATAGTGGGCTACAACGACATCCTCAGTCGCACAGAAAACAATGTGACGTACCGAAAGAATCGCTACCGCCATGTGGAGTTCCTGCCGGAGGAGAGCGTTGCTTCCGATGTCCTCAACTGGACCATCACCTCGCCCAACAACGTCTTACTGGGCGCGGCGGCCAAGTTCAAGCATGTGGCACCGTTCTCGGTCCTTGGCTTCGATGCCATCACTAGGTTCGAGGACTTGTTCATCACGGGCTCCGTCTACTACTTCCTCTGGGAGTTCACACGACCCTCCCTGCAGCTGGTATCCAACCTACTGCCCTTCGCCCTGTCCTCCAACTGCGGACCGCTGCACAATGTAAGCGATTCAATGTTCGATTCCATCTCATCTGGCCATATTCTTATACGCTTCCACCCGTAGGCTCTCAAGGATAAGGAGGAGGTCTACACGGTGAACATTGGCCCGGATCAAGGCATTGACAACTTCTTTCGCATCGAGACCCTCAACGGCCAGCAGGTCATCAAAGAGCAGCTGCCGCGCAGCGAAGAGTGGTCCAATGACGCCTGCCCCTACAACGTGAGCGGTGCTCACGACAACTCGCTTTTCCCGCCCTTCCTGCAGCCAGAAACACCGCTGAACGTCGTGGCCATCGAGTCCTGCCGCGTCCTGCCCCTCATCTACCAGCGCCCAGAGCGCTACGCCGGCCTCGACACCTACCGATACCTGCTGCTGCAGCCCGGCCAGGAGCCCCCAAAGTGCATGGACACTACCTACGGCATCAAATTGCACAAAGGGATGTTTGACGTCTCCAAGTGTGTGATAAGTAAGTCGATCGGGGGATTCCCTCAGAACATTTTTGAATTATTTCTCACGCTTTTGCATCGGTTGCAGATGATGCCCCATCGGCGTTCTCGGCGCCACACTTCTATGGCAGCAGCTACAACTGGAGCGAGCACTACGAAGGCTACAATCCGAATGCCGAGGAGCACGAGCCGTTCATCCTGATGGAGCCCACGACAGGCATACCTGTCAACGAGAAGTACCGCTTCCAGTCAAACATACCCATGCCGAATCTCTCTTCCTACAGCAGGAGACTGAAAAGCTTCAGCAACATGCTGCTGCCCACCTTCTGGTATGAGTTTGTAAGTGTCAACAGCCTCCAACCCCCATGGAAATTTCCCTCCCACTGATACCCCATTGAACGTTTTCCAGGAAATGGGTGAGCTGCCCGACTTCGTGCTCAGGCTGATGTGGATCAATGTGAAGGTGCTGCCCCACGTGCAGGCGCCCTGCATGGCTCTGCTGCTGCTGCTCGCCCTGTGGAGCGCCCTCAAAGTGATCCGAGTGGCCTGGGGCGATCTCGGTTACGTGGATCTCTATCGCAAGATCTGCGGCCGCGGCACCACAAACGCCTGCCTTGAAACGGTGTTTCCGACAACCGATCGCCACCTTACGCAATGCGGCCAAGTCTCTGATGAGGCTGTCAAATAGTCTCTGATTTAGGTTGTGATTGAGCTCGGTTCCAGGCCCAGTCCCAGGCCCAGGGCCAGATCCGAGAGCTGGACTAGTGTACATATACTATACATGCATACAAATACTCGTAGTTTTAGGCTAGAGGTGCGGTCTGTTGCTGATGATGCTGCCACTGCACTTATCAGTTCAGTTGTTTTCTTTTATATAATATACTAATAAGTTGAAAATTGAATTCTCGCCTCATTTCACCTTATCTGTCAGAGGAGAGCCAGAGCTCAGAGCCCAAGCCCGGCCTAAGCTCGTCCCAGACATTGGTCTCATCTAATCCCCACTGATCCTCCTCCCCCCCCTCCTACCATTCATCTGTCGCCACCTTTGCCGTGTTGACTGTTTGAGGTCGCGGCTTTCGTTTGATTCGCCTCGCTTTTTGTGTGGTGTGGTGGCAGGCAGCAGCTCGCAATGACAATGAAAACTTGGGCACGTACCAAGTGGAAGATTTATTTTGCGCTTTATTCAATCTGTACATTTAACTTTTCGTTGTCATTATTTCTTCAGCTTCTTCTTGCTCTGTATACCTTGTGGCTTTGTATACCCTTGAGGAGGGTCGAAACGTTTTGGCCAGGAGCTTGCAACGCTCCCAGAAAGAAATGCTTCCGTGTCTATTCAGGCATCTAAATAATAATAATTGTATTTATTATTTTGAAAACTTGCTATTGGGTTTTCTGAAAACTAACTAAAGTGTTCAATACAATTACAATTAGAAAAGTTTAAATATTTAAGATAATACAACCAAATTGTGTGATCTGAGATGTTTATTCAACATCTTTCTACATAATCCTGTAGAATATTTTAGACTCCGTTTTGGGAAGGGAGTTCAATGCTTCGATCCGTTGGAGGATAGCCTTCCTTTCTTGTTTACCTGTATTGTACTTGATTTTGTTCATCTTTCCTGAACCTGAACTTTTGAACATGCCCCTGTCATGCCCATGTCTCTCTCTCTGGCTGATGCCCCGATGCGGTTTCAAGGTAAGCAACCCTTTGTCTCTTTTCCTCTCGCGTCAACGAAATGTCGTGTGTTGACCGTTTTTTTCCTTTCCCGATTACTCTCGATTTGCATAAATCGATATATATGTGACGACTGCCGCTTGGGGCAAAGGATGCCCCAATTTAAATGTTAATCGCCGCCAAACAAGCTGAAAGTTGTTTGTATAATTGGCTCGGATGTTATATCACAGTGGAGAGTCAGGTCAACGCCGGTCGAGGTGATTTATTAACCTTTTCGCAGCCTGTCTAGGTAATCCATTGAGCCAATCCACAGATCCAGATCCAGCAGCCAGATCGTCTTCATATGCTTGATAATTGCGCTTTTTCTAGAATCGCCTGCGTCATTGGCAGTGCCATAGTGCCATAAAAGCTGCGAAAGTACATAATTATACGAATATAAAGTGTATTTTTACTTTTTTATAGTTAATTAATGTTGCCCCCAAAGCGGCTAGAATTATCAGTCTGAGCTCGAGTCCCGAATCCATTAGCAGACGTCCTCTTGTCCCCGGTACAGCTGACCGACCGTTGGAGCTAAATATTATCTGCCAAAAAGGCGGAAAAACCCCCTAGTCATGGCTAAGACGGCAACAAATACATATGTACGTATGTACGAGCATGTCCACCCAAGGCAGTGGGGTAAATCCCGATTGATTAGACCAGTTGGAATGAATCGGCGCTAAAGCTTTCGCAATATGGTCGGGTCTAGACTTGTGCGTGCGATCCATGAGCCGAAAGATAATTAAAAGGGAAATGGAAATGCATAAAAGTGATTACAACACAACAACAACAACAACAACAACCACAACCACAATAACAACAACAGCACCAGCACCAGAAACAACTAAATGCGATCGTTAAACCAAGTCAGAGTCAGAGACCAAACCAGCTAAAGCCAGATCAGTGAGTGTCTCAGATCTCCGCTCTCCATGCTTGGCTCTGTCCAAGTCCAACTCCAGCTCGGAACTCGGTCCGGACTGGCAAAATCAACATTTAAATTTCAATTTTCACGTAAGTCAATGTTTTTCCTACGAATTTCGTACGTGAGAGCCGCCAAAAAAGAAAACAAAAACAAGAGTAACGATCAAATAAACACAAAACCAGAGATCTGGGCAGAGGCATGGGGAGTGGACAGATAAATCTGTGATAAACTCGCATTTCCATTCCACCCTATGAACTGGTGGACTGAACAGACAGACCGTTTGACTGCTTGCCGAAAAATTCAGCTGAAAAAACCTTAAGTCAATCGTTGAAAATCCGGTTCCACATGCGAAAGCTCCGAGCGAGCGGGGCTGGCTGCTGGGAATTGCGCTCAGTGTATGAGCCGTTAAAGCTCCTTAGTATAAAAGTCAGCTAAAGAGGCTAACAGCTCGCAATCAAAGCTGCACCGTTGTACGCACCACAACGCAACCCATCTCCGCCCAAGCCCAACGATCAGACAAAAACGACGTGAGTGACAACCGTGTTTAGTAGTGCACCACCAATCGTAAAGTTGAGTGCCAAAAAAAAAAAAAAATAGAGTCGAGGAAACCAATTCCAATTGCAATTCAGGCTTAGAGCTTGATAGTACGTCCGACCTGTCGTGCACAATTATTGAGTAAATTTTGACCAACCACCGGCGGCCGTACATCGCCCGTTAAACAACAGTTTGTGGTGACATGGCTGCACTGATTTGCATAGTCAGAAGAGCAGAGTAGAGAAAGATGTAGTGTATAGACGGGAATAGAAGCGGAGAGGACAGGGGGAAACCAACAAGCAGCGACGTGGTCTTCGCCGATTGAGAAATTGTGAAATCTTCTGTGTAAAATATCGAAATTAAAATGAACACCAATTAGTATGCATACGCGATATATATGCCAAGGGCCATTAATAATGCATGACAAAGTGGGCTCCGCTCCGCCATCGGGCGGCTCATCGCGATCACCTCAGATGATTCTTTCTACATTCAGACAAACATAAACCGATTTCGGAGACTTGGCGGCGACGCCTTCTATATTCAATAGATTTGCATGTTCAAAGCGTTTCCAGAGAAGCAGCCTCTGGCCAATGCGGCCATTCCAAGAAATCATTCCGAATTATTTGCACTCTAACCAATCGCCTCTATAAGCATCAGACAAACAATGGCACCAGGGGGTCTAATTTTTATTTGCTTTGCCATTACCCGAAATTGGGGACTAACCCAAACACCTCTCTCCTCCTTTTACAGCACTCGTCAAGATGAAAGCTTCGCTGGCCATTGTGTTGTGCGTGCTCGCCGGACTGGCGGCCGCCGCTCCGGACCAGTACACCAGCAAGTTCGACAATGTTAATGTGGATGATGTGCTCGGCAATCAGCGCGTGCTGAACAACTACCTCAAGTGTCTGATGGATAAGGGGCCATGCACGGCCGAAGGCCGTGAGCTGAAGCGCCTGCTGCCTGACGCTCTGCAGTCCGACTGCTCCAAATGCACCGCCGCTCAGCGTCGCAACTCCGAAAAGGTGATCAACATCTTGCGCTCCAAATATCCAGGCGAATGGAAGCAGCTCCTCGACAAGTACGACTCGAAGGGAATCTATAGGTCCAAGTACGAGGCGGCGGCGAAGAAGCAGCACTAAGCGGGGGTCGCACTCCGCGGTCTACTACTCATTTCACATGAACTTAATTTAAAATCAGAAGCTCCACAATTAAAAATGTAATTTTGTATACCTAAATGCGGCAAAACAAAACTTTTATTCCAACGCGGAAGCTGGATGCGGATGAGCTAACGAATATCAACTAGTGCTTAACAAACAAAACAGGCTGCACTGCGGCTGGGGCTTTTGTTATTTCGTTTCGTTGATCAGATCAATCGCCCTAAAATGATTTGCCACATTGATTGTCCAGTCTGAGTGTTGGCCGGCAGTGAATTCCTTGATGAAGCGGTAGTTGCAAATAAAGACCTTATCCTGGTACTCAGGCAGAATTCTGTAATGAAAAGGATGACTCATCAGTTGAAGAGTTCTGTGCGATGGATGGCCGGCACCACAAACCCCATGTTCCATGGTATCTCCTCGCCGCGCTCTCTCATCTCGGACAGTCCTCTCATCACATGAAATACCATTGTGATCTCAACCCAGCGCTTCTGCAACTTGTCGTTGGCCTCGTCGAAAATGATGCCCACCTGGTAGGGGAACGAAAGGTAGATGTCACTCTCCTTGATCTCCAGCTGACGGCGTTGCGACATCGACAGTTTCTGTATCACGGGCTTCAGCTCCGCAATAGCATCGACAGAAACCAAGCTGTCCAAAGCCTCCAGTTCGCCGGCCATTAGTTTAGAGGATACCACCTAAAGAGACTGGAGTTAGGCCCCCTGCGTTAAATAGCACCATGTCAATCGAACCTGCAGTGCCTGCTTGGCGCCAAAAATGAAATCCTTGAGCTGGAACTCGCTGTCGAAGTAGGGCCGGATGATGAACTGGATTGTAATCCAGTTCTTGATCGTGATCAACGCCGACGGCCACACAACCTCCGGGAAGTCCATGAGGCGCGGCAAGTGATTACGGTCGGACCTCGTCTCCTGCTCTTTTTTGTTTTCCTCTTGCGGCACTGATGCGAATGATCTTCTATTTGCGACTGCGATGGGACTATTATGAAGGCGCAGCAAGGGCGTCCGGGCCATGCCCAGGCAACGTCTGAGTGTGTGCTGCATTGTTAATTTTCTCAGATGCAGGCAAATTATTCGTCGTTTTGTAAATTAGCCCCGTTTGCGGAGAATATGGGCAGTGTTGGGTAGCGAGTAGTTTTAATTTAATTTAAATTCTACGGTATATATGGGGTTAAGACGGTATTTTTCAAATTTTACACGGTATACATATGGGGTTTTACGATTCCCTTTTTACGATACCAGTGAAAATGGTTATTAAAATGAATTATTTAAAAGTTCGCAATAACCATTCAAATATCACCGTTCATAACCATCAGCTGGTGGCAGTTGAAGTTTCAGTGAAGATATCGATGTCCATAGACTCTTTTTGTCATCTTTAATGGTCTTATGACATTAGACTAACGGACTACTACAGCCTTCCTGTCTCCCTATTTATTTTCTCCATTGTTGTACAACAACAACTAATTTTTGTAAAACAATTGACAGCAACAACTTTTGTTGTTTTCGCCGTTATTTGTAGCTTCCTTGATCTAATTCATATTCTAATCCATATCAAGGACCAAGGAACAAGGTTATTTTCTCAAGACATATATGTATATCTTTTCTCCCTTATTTGTGGCCAGATCGCCACGTGCGACTGCTTCCTGTGTTCGGAATAGCATCCTTAATCAAGTGCAGTGCTTATCAAGAACCAAGGATTAAGGATATTTTCTCCAGACATAAATCTTTTTTTCTCCCTCATTCGTATTCCGATCGGGCGATGGGCGATGGGCGTACCATGGACTGCCGTGATCAGAAAATGGTCCTTGATGCTTTGCTAAGGACTCCAAACACCCCAACACAGCCGATCTAGGCGGGCGATGGCTTCCTGTATTTGAAAAAATTTCCCTGATTTGATGGAGTCTTTTATTAAGGATCAAGGACATCGCGGCCCCAATCATAAATATTTAGTTTTCTCCGCTAACCGATCTTTGCGTGCCACGCCTTTTTTTATCAGGATAGTTTCCCCGATACAGGATACAGCAAGGATGATTTTTCAATAGTTTTATTCATCAAAACTTAGCTTAGTATAAATAAATAAACAAGAGGAAATCTTTTGTATCTTTTATCTAAATATATAGTCGCGTACATCCTTAAACCTAACAAAAACGATATATATCTCAAGTCTAGTCGCCCGCGTAGCTCCTCCCTTGGTTGTTATAATGTTAATAATGTTATGTTCGGATCTTGCACGGGTTGCGCTTCTGTCCTTCTGTGAAACGATTCTGTCTGGCTGGGGTAGGACTCGGTATGTCTCGAATACGCCTCGGTAATGCTTAGATAGGGCTCAATCTGTCGGGGGATATCGGATTCGACTCGGCTTGTGCCAAAGCGTAGGGTAAATATGTAGGTCCTCTGTGAAGGATGATATTTTATAAAATATGTCCAAAATTATATACTGATTCACTTACGCGTCTCAAAGCTGAAGTCCGACATTAGAAGTTACTGACATTATTTCGGCCAGGCTAGGAGCAGCGTCGGAAACACCCGCGGAGGAAGTACAGACGACGATCAGACGGGATAGGCGGAGAAAACAGAGTGGGACGGAAGAAAGAGTGTCCCGGAACCGGAAGACAGATGAATTCGCACTTCTATATGCTGTATGGTTAGTGCTTCCACCTATTTCCTTCCGCCATTTAAACTATCGATGTATGGAAATTCCAACGATCATTTTTAATGTTTAAAAATTTAATAAATCCAGTTCTTTTCAGCTTCCAGTATCGTGCGATCCATTTCCCCTGCGGATTTCTGAGGATCAACCTTTAGACTGCCTACTGGCTATTTCAGGCACGACGAGCAAGGACAGCATGACGTATATTTTTACCAGGGCTCTTTCAAATCGTACTTCCGTGCATCATTTATTCAAATGGATTGCATTTAAATCCTTGTCGCTCATTTATTTTCTAACAATTTCTATTTGGCGCTCAAGTTTTGTGGGATTTCCTCTCTATTATGTGATGGGATATCCCCTCTTTGTCCTTTTCAGCTCAATGTCTTATGTTGCTTGCAACATTCATCTAAGGATCCAATCTATGCAGAAACTAGTCAGTCTCTGTTTTAAAGCAATACAAGAATAGGTATCGGGATCGAGATCGAGATATATATACAAGACAGTAATGATATTCAAGGCAACAGCTTGGTGAACGAAACTAATCGTATAAATCTAAGCAAGGTCATTATTAATTACGTTTTAAAGCAGCTATTTTTCTATATACTTCTTATTCTTCCTCTTTCTTGTCCGAAAATAACGCATGGCGTTTTATTACGTTGTTTTGTTGAACTTTTTTACTAAAACCTTTTTTTAGACAAGATCCAATAAAAGCAAGTACTTAAAATAAGCCAGTCAAATAGGAAATAGATTAATTAATCGGATACAATTATGTGGGCATGACTGAGAGTTCTATCTAGCTAGTAGTATTGGACGGAATATCAAAATCGAGGAATATGATGGAACTTTAACCATTCGTAATCATATCACGGTATATTTTGAAAATGATGCGGTATATATTGGTATATTTCTGAGGGTCAGACGGTATATTTTTTCGATGATTCCGCTGTCACTCTGCTGCCTACTTCCGCCTGTCAAATTTTTCTTTCTTTCCCAGCCACGACGAGCGACGAGCGACAGCATGAGGTACATTTGAGTGTTGTAAATATGCGTGAATTAGCCGTTTTTGTGGTGCCGAAATATGTGAAAAGTGCGGCGGGGCGGTGGTGCAGCACGGCCCGTGCCACACAACATGAGTGCAATTAAATTTTCGGCCAATAATTGTGAAATGTCTTGAACGTACTCACACATACAGACACACACACAAACACAAAGGCGCAGAAACAAGCACGCTGTTTTCATGAACTAATGCTTGTCCATTATTTGCAGTTCTCTAAAGCTCCAGAAGAGGCTCGCAGCCTCTGTACTGCGTTGCGGCAAGAAAAAGGTTTGGTTGGATCCCAATGAAATCAACGAGATCGCCAACACAAACTCGCGTAAGTGCTGCTCGCCGGCTAGATATAGGCTCATTGAATAACCATCTGATGGCCGCCTCTTGTCTTCCAGGTCAAAACATACGCAAACTGATCAAGGATGGTCTGATCATCAAGAAGCCCGTCGTGGTGCACTCCCGCTACCGTGTGCGCAAGAACACCGAGGCCCGTCGCAAAGGTCGCCATTGCGGTTTCGGTAAGCGCAAGGGTACGGCAAACGCCCGTATGCCCACTAAGCTGCTGTGGATGCAGCGTCAGCGTGTGCTGCGTCGTCTGCTGAAGAAGTACCGCGACAGCAAGAAGATTGATCGCCACCTGTACCACGATTTGTACATGAAGTGCAAGGGTAATGTGTTCAAGAACAAGCGCGTCCTTATGGAGTACATCCACAAGAAGAAGGCCGAGAAGCAGCGCAGCAAGATGCTGTCTGACCAGGCCGAGGCCAGGCGACAGAAGGTGCGCGAGGCCCGCAAGCGTCGTGAGGAGCGCATTGCCACCAAGAAGGCAGAGCTGGTTGCCCTGCACGCCAAGGAGGACGAGATCGCTGCCAAGGCTGCCGCTGCGGCTCATTAAGGAGTCCACGCTTCGCTAGTCGAGGCACATAATATTGATAGTAATTGTTTATCAACTGAATAAAACAGAAACTTTAGTTTGGCGGAAATGATTTTGTACAAACACGAAAACCCATTTTTCCATGATTTCCAATGCGTGCTGCAGGACAAGGATAACCAATAAGAAGAGTTCGACTCTGTTTGGAATCAAATTCAGTATCCGGCTGGGCTAAGCATATAATCTATAATTTTTTGAATATTTTTATAAACATTTTAAAAAGCAATAACTTTATTAAAAATTTGTTATGGGCGGTTTTGGAGAGAGCCGATAGGTATCAGGGCTGGAGAAGAGAGAGACAGCGGCATCTATAGTGGATCCTGGGAAGCAGTGTCAGAGTTGCGTGGGAGAAAAGGAAACGGGGCGAGGAGGAAGAAAGGAGGAGTTTCCGATGGAGAATAGTGGAGGCCACACGTGCCCTGAAAGAAAAAAGGAAACAAAATTGGTGATCGTGGAGACGACGATCCCACCAAGACATCAGCGGCAAGCCTCAACATCAGCAGAAGCGGCGGACATCGGCAGCAGCATCCCGGTACTGGCCAGGCCGGAAAACTGGTGCGAGAACCGTCAGCGGAGCACCGACACCAAGGAACCGTCAGCGGAGCACCGGCACCAAGGAACCGTCCGCGGAGCACCGACTGGAGACACGTTTCTGTCCACAGAGATGAGAGCGAGAAGAAGAGTGGGACCCTGAATATGAAAAGGGAGCGCTCTTGGAAGGTGGCGCTCATGGAAGGGTGGGACCCTGCTAGGGATAACGAAACCAACTATCCCCGCTTACGAAAGTGCCAACGAGGAGAAGTCTGTCCTATAAATTAGATTTGTTTTTTTTGTATGTTTGTTTTTGTTTTGTTCAATCCGTCCCCTGGCTTATCGGGTCGGAAACACCCCTGACTTCCCCGTGAGCTAGCTGGGAACGATCGGCCAGGGTGGCAAAGAGGCGGATCATAACAAATGTACTACATATATTGCTATGTGTTTCGATAAAGACACAGCAACTCTGATACGTTTGCCCATATTTAGTGACTAAATTGTAGTCCACTTCATCACTACAGTGCAACAAGTAGCTGCTACACATTTTTTTCTTTCTTAAAATGATGCTTAAAATGAATTCCAAGGAATTCTTGGAAAAAAATCTAACGCGGCATTACCGTAAGTACATTGAAATTAAGGAGCGGGATAGAGCAGTATATGGTAAGCATTTTGAGACCCTTCACACAACACTATTTCGGATACTACAAAAAGAAGATCCAACGTTGGAGCATCTCATTGTGGAATTCAATTTGGAAGGTAACATTTATTCTGTGCAACAGCATATGGTGTTTTTTCTCTTCCTATAGGTTTGGAGCCTTCATCAAGGGGTTGATTTGTCCTCTAGTAGTGTATGCATTTTTGATTTCACCCATTTTATAGTTCGCTTTGGACTGGTTAGTCACAATAGTTAGACTCGTGCGATAATAAATTTGTATACCATAAACCGGGTTGAATCGCGCGTATCAATACCGGGAAGCCGTAATAAAATCCATTCTCTGCCCCGCCGTGAACGACTCGTGTCCGCCGTTTCCGCGTGATTAATTCGAATAGTGTTTACTCTGCTCTTGCAGGAAGCTCGGGTGATATGTTAAAGATCGCGAAACCCAACGAATTCGATTTGGTATTTAAGCTCCGTATTCCGCATTACCGGGAAATAATCGTGACGCGAGATTCGGAAATGCCGGGCAACGTTTTACTCGATATAACGCGCGTACTTCAACTACTCAAAAGTGATCCCCGCGAGGATCAACAGAATATCCGCCGGCTGTTAAAATCTCTCGTAAACGCTCAAAACTTCCTCATCGTGGAAAAGCTGCACCACTGGCTCCAAAGCCTATTCAGTCGCACTCTCAACCGGCTCGATCATCGGATCGTAGTGGATGGCAAGGCATCTAAGTTAAAGTATCGCACTTGTGGGCCGGCCCACACCATCGAGGTCGAAGGAATGGAATATTCGGTTGATTTTGTGCCTGCCATCCGACTGGATGCCGAGCAGAACGTGTTTCGGACCGAACAGTTGAATTACCACGCGAACATACACTACTGGGATGCGATACCCAAACCATTAAAAAAACCGCTCATAACCGAAAGTATTTCATTTCGATCTTCCTTTTACGATGCCGAGAAGGCGATGTTAAGGGGTAAACACGAAAATTGCCGCAATGTAATCAAGTGCATTAAGAAATTTCGCGATGTTCAGACGAATTTACACAACTTAAAGAGCTATTTTATTAAGACTGTTTTTCTTTGGAAGATTAGGTTCGAGCCGGAGTCTTACTGGTACAAGCCGCTTACAGTCATATTGATCGATGTATGTACAATGAGTAACAATTCTCAAATCCGATCCCCACTTTCTGAGCCACACAAATCAATTGTAGATGTTTGAGGAGTTGACGGATCGTTTAATGCACGGAAGACTAGACTACTTCTGGGACCCCAAGCTAAACATGCTGGATATATATTCAAGGAATCAAACAATAGAAATGTTTCGATGTGTCCAAGGAATGTCGGGCAAGCTAAGGAGGGTGGCTAAAGCTAGAAATCCCACATATCGCAGTTTGTTGAGTGTTCTGCAGGCTTTCAGCAAGTGACCCCAAATAGTAAACCGGATTTTTGCTCTAATTAAATTATATTTCCCACAGGTCACAGAGAGGAACGCATTGCTATCCCTCGCTGTTACACGAGAAAGTCTCATCAAAAACGTCAAAGCAATAGGTCCTGTATTATACCCCAGGAGATTATAAATTTTACAACCGGACCAAAAAGAAAAACTGAAAGAATACAAATAGGAGCATCTACATTCTTGAATCCCGAGCTGAAAAACTTCGATATCTATAAAAGCGTTCAAACAATGGAAAAGTTCCGATGTGTCCAAGGGACAGTGGACAAACTTAGAAGGGATGCTGGGTATACCATATATTGCAGTTTGTTGAGCGTCCTGCAGGATTTCAGTAAGCTAATCCCCTATAGTTAACAGGACTTGTGTCCTCAGTAAATTGTATTTTCGACAGGTCACAATAAGGAATGGATTGCTATCCCTAGCTGTTACCCGAGAAAGTCTTATCCCAAGCGGAAATGCGTCAAGCGCCTGAACAATCACTCCCAATGATGCCGTCTAGGCAATGGGCCCTGAATTAATCATGAGGAGATAACATTTCTTTCTAAAACTGGATGAAAAAACAAAAACTGAATAACAAGCTTCGGCTTGGTTTCGCTAGGGCCACTTGATGATGCAACCATTGCATGTCAACGTCCTAATAAGAACAAGATTAATTTGGAGTATCTCGCACTCACAGACCAATTCATTATTTTGGGGGCGCATATCAATTAAGACCTGGGCTCTCCTTCTCGAACTTGCGTAGCTTCGTGTGCCTGCCAATTGGTTCTGTGATGTATTTTCTCCACATTTTAACACTACGTTCCTCAATATTCAACAGGAAACATCGATAGTGACAGTAGGGCGCCTTATCGTATTTGGCGCCTACCACTCGCCTCTTTTGGCTCTCTTCAAAAAGGTTAAGGCACTCTCTAAATCGGGTACTGAATCGGTAGCAACAATGAATCTCATTCCATACTTTTAAATTATGTTCTTTATTTACTGTACTTGGATCGACATATGGTGATGATTGGAGCTGCATTTCCCAAAACATTGAAAAGGTGAACCCACTGGGAAATGTACGCTATGTTCAAAATTCAAAATTGCATGCGTCGAAAAGTATACCACCATTCAGGCTGAGCCACTTTAACGGCCTAAAGCTGGAGACATTTGGACAGCTGCTAAGAGTGAATATGCCGCAATTATTGGGGAATGTAATTCAAAGTTTCTTATCGATTTCAGCTGATTTTTAAAATCTTTTATCGATAAAATATACCGAAATATACCGACTTTTGTTCAAAATATACTGACAAATTGACGAGGGTATTTAACGTCACACTGCCTGTCACACTACTGTGTATTTAAAATTTTTGCTCGTTGGCTGAGGTTGTGGTCGTCGTCGTCGTCGTCGTCGGTCTAGTTGTGGTCATCATTGTCCATTGTCAGCGTCAGCAGTCCAGCAGTTCAGCAGCCGTGCGCGTGCAAACTGTTTAGAATTCTGATATATAAATTAATTGAATCGGGCAAGATCATCAGCCATAGGCCGTCCGCCTGTCTAATCGAACACCGTGCGTGCGTGAATGCAAATTTTTTGGCATAAAACGGCCGCGACTTCTTGAAATCAGCGCAATAGCAATCGCGCCGGGGCAACAGACAGTACAAGCTATCCAGCCACTAACTAAACGACACTAAGCTAAACAAAACTAACTAAAACAAGAGCTGCATATCTAACTGAACTACCTGTAACTGCAGTTGGACAGCGCATTTCGTAATCCAAAACCAAAAGCGAAGCAAGAATACGGGTCCGAGAAACAGCTGAAGGCAACGTAACGCCAAGTGAAAGTGCGCGTGTATTTGTGAATAGCGAAGGCAACCAGAAAATTTCTTATATCAATTATAACCTGCGTTTGTCAGCAGAAGCATCAGAAGCAGAAGCAGCTCAACACAAGAAAATTCACAATGAGCGGATACACAGACCTCACCAAGCTGGAGACTAGTCGGTAAGCCACGAATCCAGTTCGCTAGTTAAAGTGCTTAAGTTCAATTTAATCAAAACGATGCTAAATTGGTGGAGAGCAGAGTGGTGCAGCGGGGCAGACAGCCATAAATTCCTCTCTTTCTCTCTCTCCCTCTCAGCAGCACCAACCGCACCCCTCCATATGTTTTCTCTTTCGTTTGCACCGAAAACGAGATACAAGAAATTTATCGTACGATTTTGTTGGACGGGTGGACGGACGGTTGGACGGACAGGCAATTCAAACACGAAAGAAAAAAAACCAAGCCACCGCGCTGCCCGCTGCCCGCTAATATGACACAATCGGCTATATCTATATATCGTACCAACCTCTCTGCTCTCTGAAATATGTAAACGCTGCCTGCGAGCGTCTGTCTGTGGCTACGTATGTACATGCATGTACATACGTACATATTTGAGCGTGTTGTTTGTTTAAACGTTTTAACTAAACTAATACCAGAGCCAAAGCGGAGATCAGCGATAAGGGTTTATCTTTGCGGCGGCAGTCACTTCCTCCGTCCGCTATAATCAACGGACACCTCGCCTGCCATTTACCGATAATAGTTATTACTCATCCACGAACATACGATGGCTATACATATTTGCCACATGAGCAGACCAGGCCTAGCCCGGCCCTCCTCCTTGGTAAATCACAACAAAGTTCTCTGATTCACAGTCTTGTGTAAATACATACGTATGTACGTTCGTATGTAAATGTGTATATGTATGGATAGTTTTGTGTGTCACCGCTATTGTATTACTATTACTAACGACGCTTTTGTGGCAAGTGTCGCCTTGAACAGAAACTTACGGCGAAACCCATCTTCGTTCCCCCCGCACTTTATGTGTGTGTGTGTGTGTGTGTGTGTGGTCGTTGGCCAGACTCAATCGAAGCTAGAATATCAAATTGGTAGTACGCGGGGGCGGCCATATCAAATATCGATTATGTTTAGTAGGTCCGAACCCCAACACCGCCACAGTGGTGGAGGTCAGACGAGGGGCCAAGTCGTAGTCAAGCTAAGGCAAAACAAAACCAAAAAATATTGGTCAATTCGGTTCAACAAAAAAAAGAGTGTATTGTAAACATACATACATATGTATATGTTTATATGTATGTATATGTATATGACTATTGCCCAACGTTGCAAATACGAGAAATACCACAAAAACATACCAATCGCAGCCTCAGCAGCAGCAACAGCAACAAAAACAACAACAACAACAATCACAGAGAGGAGCATCGCATCGCCAAACGATTTCATTCATCACACGCTCAGCTGAGAGGAAGAAGAGGGAGAGATGTCATCAGTTAAAGAGCAGAGCAGCAGCCGCCTCTTGCTCTAACAATTGCCCGTACAGTTGCTCAGAAACATCACGCCACACGCAACACACACACACACGATTCCTAGTAAAGAGAAACCCTCTGTACAGTCAAAGAGAGCACTAGAGCACCATAGTTTGAGCGTAACGGCCACCGCTCTCTTTTGTGGCAAGAGTCAGCTTGTGAATGCTGCAACCCAACAACCCACCACCACCCACTGTCTGCCGTCACTGAATGAAAATAATCGCCTGATTTCGGTGTTGTATGCGGTACATGCCATTTCTCTGCCGCTGTCTCTGCTTCTTCTTTTTTGCGCATGTCGTGTGACGCCGCGACTCGTCGCCTCCTCCTCAGCTTAGCCCAATTCTCAGAGTCAGGCGGCCCAGCCAGCCAGGTGTATGGCAGGGGGGGCAGAGGGGAAGAGAGCTCTTTATTATTATATCAGAGACGGAGATGGAGCCGATGGCTGGTTTGTTCATGCTGCTCTCCAATTGGTTGGCTCAATGTGGCGTGTTCTTCATGCCGGCATTTCTTCTTCTTGCATGGCCAGAAAGAGGGGATATGAAAAGGGAACAATAGGGAATAGCTGGCCTGCAAGCAATTGTTGTATTTATAACAAAAGGTCAATAGCGCGGACACTCCCGCTGACTGGCGTGCGGCCAACATTCGAGTGTCGTATCGCCTGATTAGAACCATCTAAGTAAATCAACCCACAGGGGTGGTGACGATGCACTGTCTAACATTCCTCGCAAATAATTGAAACTAAATTGAGATGATTAAACAACAATCAAATAAATTACAGTGTCGACCCTTCCCACCTCTGGGGATGGGGCGGGGGCTGGGCTGGGCATGGGGCCTTGTCTATTCGAAATTATGTGCATCACAAGTGTCCGAAGCTGGCAATCGTTGATAAGATGATAATTATTTTTGCATTCCTACGCTCTGTCTGTCCCTCCGCGATACCCTCTGTCCCTCTGCGATTGGAACTCAATGCTCAATTACGTTAATTAGTCATTTGTGTGAATGAATACTCGTAGGAAACGCTGCCTCTCCCCGTCCTGCCCCTAGACCAAGTTCCAAGTTCTCTGTCCCTGGAACTGTGCCAGACAAACCTTGACACAAGCGGGTCTGCCACTTGTTCTGCTTCTGCCTCTGCTACTGGTACCTACCGATATCTATCCATCTATCAGTCGGTCAGCCGTCAGAGCACGCAGTGGTCGCGTGGCCCGCCCCCATCCCTCACACTCTGTTACATGCATACATATGTACATATGTATGTATGTGCTTTCCCATACTGGGGAGACTCTGGGGGTAAGAGGTCTTGAATGGCGCAGTCTGAAAACTGAAAACTAAATTTATATCAGTTGCTCGCTTTGTCGCGCCGTCAAATACAATAGTTGCGATCACGCGGCTACCCACTGGCTGGGCTGTCGCTGTCCCAATCTTAAGCCAAACAAGCAGCAGATACAGATACGCAGCTGGTACTTGCTCCTCCAGCTGATTCGTCGTCTGGGGGCTGTCTGGCGGCGATAAGCCGGGTCGGGTCGGGACTTTGGTTCGTACTAGTTTAAGCTCTCGCCCTGGGGGGTTAATGGCTGTCAAGTGCTTGCGAGTTGCGAGTGATTTTTTATGGAGCTTGACGGGGGGAATGACTGTTACGCGATCCCAACGTGAAATTAGCTCTTAATGAAAGACCCCGCTCTGACCGGCGAGAGTTGCATAAGGTGTCCGTTCGTAGCACTCTACTTTGCTCCAAGCTGCGATTCCAGCTCTAGGGAACTAGGGAACAGACTCTCTTCCAGCGCTCGCAGGCCCAGCACGTGGCTGGGTCAAATTGGCTTTTACCTCCAGAAATAGAAATCTTTCGGTCTGTCCGTCCGTCTGGGCTTTGTTTTAGACCCGCACGAGCACTTTCAGGTACAATAGCAGGCACCGCCAGGGCGGCGGACGGCCAACAGGTTTCTCTATTTTATACAAATTCAATTTGCGACAACGATTCACTAATTTGCATAGAAACCAATTCATATCTGTCATACGCCACGTTGTCCAAGCGATTGGGCGGCGCACCCATCCGAAAGAAAGAAGATTTCGGCTTTCGAGTGGCGGAAGTCTAAACGGCGCAGACTTAACGACGCTTGAGAATGGCCAGCGTCTGGTGGGGTCTAGTCTGATGTGGCATGGGTCCCCAATTATGGTATCTATTGTCTCAAACTGGTTTCCCCCCACATTACTGGTTAGCCGACTCAACTCAAGATCATCTTTATCATCGTTCTGCTTCTGTTCTGCTCATTTCAGGAACTGCCTGCGCCGCATCGCCCGTCACGATGAGCAGCAGTTCTCCAAAGACAGCATCGTCAATGTGATGGAGAAGTTTGTGAAGACTGTCAACATTATGGACGACACCATTTTGGTGCCATGCAGACTCATGGATCGACAGGTACAGCATGGCATCCGACCCTGATGCTATCTCCCCAAACTCTTGCCTCCCCTCCCACACAATCACAGCCCCAACTGATGTATGCCACCCTCTTTGCTTGCTTGCTCTCCCGCAGATCGGTGACAGCACTGACATTATACCAGCCTCGGGCAAGGACACTACCGCCAACCAGCTGACACAGAGCTCCAGTGCCCAGGGCAAGCGGGGAGCGGCCCACTCGAAGAACGTGCACGAGTTCCTCAGCGCCTCCGAGCTCTTCAATCTCTACAGCATGCTGAACGCTCTGAAAAAGGATCTGCTCTGGACCGCCAATCAGGAGGATGATGAAGCTGTCGAGATGGAGTCCCACCAGCAGCAACAGCGCACAGCCAGTCCCGTTGCTAATTCCAGCGAGAGCAAGACTGAGTCCAACCCCTCGAGTACAACATCTGCATCAAGCAGCATCAAAGGTCATGTGCGACGCACCTCCACCGCCTCAATGATGTCCAACACCTCTGTGAGCAACATGAGCGACTCGGACTCTGACATCTCGCAGGAGAACGACTCGGGCCTGGAGTCTGATGGCAACAAGAGCGACCATGCCCAGAGCAGCGACGGCAGCGACATTGTGGACGACGCCTGCCACAAATCGAAACAGGCCTCCGGGGACAAGGCCACGGAGCTGGCGAAACGCTGCCGGAGACACCTGAACGGTCTGTACCAGTGCCTGGAACAAATGACAGAGGCGGCCAACTATCTAACCGCCAGATACCAAAGTGATATTGGGCCCGTCTAGGAGTTCCAACTCAACACCCTCTCCTTCTTCTCCTTCTAAATCTAATCCTTCGAACTGGTCGGGGCTAATCTTTACACCATATATATAGTCTGTTTAGTGGGCGGGTCTGTTTACTCTAATTAGTATCGATCGAAGCAAAGGCGAGGTCTTTCTCCAACTGTTCGAGTGTCTCTATCCATAACTATATCTATTTCTATGCCTACACCTAAAACTATATGTAACGCGGGGGGTGCTATGTACGTGTGACACACGGGGATTGTATATGTGTGCCAGAGGAAGATTGTATAAATGTAAAACAGTTTGTAGTTGTAATATTAGATAGTGCAGCAGCAACTAAAGCAACAACCAATACATTTTCTATTGTTAAACTTGCAACCATTTCGGCTATCTATGTTTTTCTCTTTCTATCTGTATCGGGGTGTAAGGGGAATCGAAACGAGTCACAGAAAGCAAAGCGCATCAACTCTTAGCATTCGTCCGGTCGCCGCATTACGCTACGGGTTTGGGGCCCAACTGTACTCAAGTCAAATCCTATTTTAGAGTTTGCTCCCCAGGCTCGATACTCCGATAAAGTATAGAGCTATACCAGATACATCTAAAGCTATGGGTACTGCAAAAACAAACAATGTTCAACAAGTACAAGAAATCTAATTTCTAATTATATTACGAATACGAATACGAATACGAGTGAAGTGGGAATGGGGTTAGCTGATCAGAATCACAATCAGAATGGGAGTTAGGGGGTTGGTTACCGACATTGGGGGGTGTGGGTAGGGGGGAGGGGGTGGAATTTCACTTCACTCTTAGTCTGTATGCAAGTTTAAATATTCCAGAATTGTTATTGTAATTGTTTAAGCCAACTATTTTGTGCCGTTATTATGTCACGTTGGATTCTTCACTTCGCAACAGACCAGCGATTAAGTTCAATGGGGGCTCGGACGATCGATCCCCCTAAAGAGTCATTTTGAAACCAATTTGCATATCGCTGGCCCGGCCATCGAAGCACACACAGAACAAACTGTAAATTACTAACGTTAATAGTCGCTTGTGCGAGAGCTAAATGAGAATTATTTATACAAAATAAATAAATTTACTTAGAAAATACATTTATACCACTCGTCGTGTTTGTTTCTTTATTTCTTTATTCAAAGGTATCTTTTGTGTCTTGCCTGTGTTTTATCGGAGCGGCAAAGAAAGTGCCAACGGAGCTGAAATTGAATGGATTGTGGCCCGTGCGATGGGTACAAAGGCCAATTGGGTCGAAGCGGGCTGTGGACAGGTGGCAATGGTCATCATAAATGCGCCATATAGATTACAGTGAGCATCGGCTAAACGTACTCGGACTTCAAAGGCGAATTTCGATACAAGTCTGTTCCAATTCTTTTTATAGGTTTTGCATTCTTCGGAGTGTATGCTTCTGCTCTTTGATCTAGTCCAAAATACTACCTAATGGATTCTATATACATATGTATATATCGATGGCTATTTTATCTTATCTGGGTTTAGGTCAAAGATACATACAAAAGAAAGCTTCAATTTAGATTAATTGTATGGATATCAAAAACTGAAAAGTTTTCCTTGAATCTAATCTCTCTTTTTTTAAAGAAAAACAAATGATTCATTACTTTTGCTTATGCACTTATATCTATATCGTAAACAAGATAACATTTTAAGTTGGAAATGATAATTTTATTTTGAGCACATTTTTTTACGCATGTCCCAATCGATGAATCCGAAGCCCTTTCCGTAACCGTAAATTTTCCAGTGCATCCCAATCGGAGATTCGACTATCTAATCTCTGATGCCACTACACTGACTACGGATGGCGCGTGTCAATGATGGCAAGTCATTGGGTTTATTCCTCTCTTGACTCTGAATAGGTATGTATATCTTTGATGGACGCCGAAACTTTCCTCCACACATCGATAATCACGGAACGGAACCGATTGATCTAAGCCCCAATTCCTTATCTGTGGAAAAGATCATGTGCTGTGCTCAAGACGGGGAAGAATGCTTTAAATACGAGTGGGTAGTAATTCCCAGTGCAATTCATAGGCCCTGCCCATGAAAAACAATCGATCATGGGGCTGTCTCATGTCCAAACCCACAATATAAGCTCCCAGCTCAAGTTCAGGGCTACGGAAGGGTAAGGAAATGAAAAATGAGAAATGAGAGTTCTCGAGTTCTTGGTACTTGCACAGCGAGTGGAGAGCAATACAAACATTTCCAAATGGGTCTCTTCAGGTTGTCAAGTACTTATATGGAAAGCATTTCCTTTGGAGTATGTCCAATTTATGGGGGTTATGTTTATTAACAGCGAATGTCAGTCCATTCTGGCAGGTATCTGGGCCAAGATAATTCTGTTTTCGGCTCTGTCGGTGCCGATGCCGCGATGTTACCGATGTTGCTGTTGCTGCTGGTGGTTTGTGTTTGTTTTGGTTTCTATTCTGGTTTCGGTCGTGGACATGGCCTTATCGGTGATGAGAATTGCAACAAATCGATTAGAAGCCATGAACTTGTTTCGCCTTTATCAGCAGACTCCACTTGAGCGGTTTCCAGGGTCCCGTCCCTCTTCCGTCATGGCTCACTGAGTCACAGGCAGAAGCAAAGTACGACGCTGGGCTGGTTCGGATTCTTAGGGGTTCTACTGGTACCAGTAAATCAATTAACGCCTTGCTAAGGCTTCCGCATCGCCGGTCCGGGAATGGAGGGGGTGAGGCACGTGGATTTCTATAGATCCAAGCCATTTGCAAATTGCGTCAGTCTTCGCTTCAGATTCGTTTTCGTTTATATACCCTTGCCGAAGGTATTCGAGTTTTACCCGGAAGATTGCAGCATCATTTCCCAGCCCATAAACTTTAAGTATAGTATGCACACGAGTTTATCTTCTTGTCCCAGTCCATTAGTTGGTTTCTACGAATAGAATTTCGGTGTGAAAGATACCTGTATGATGAGACTCAGCATTGACCTTCTCCAAACTGAATATTTCAACAGATATTTAAGAAAACCTTTTTATTTGTCTTCATAATCCTTTAAAGTTTATTCAGATTCGGTTCACGTAGTTTTTAGACCACAAGGGTATTAGAAGCTTCGGCCTACCGAAGGCAAGTCTTCCTTTCTTGCTTGTACGACTACTACAATATATGTATTTGTTTTGGCGATTGTCTCGGATTTTCGGCGGCTGTGGGTTAAAACTTGTTTACGGTTCTAGCTCTGGGGCTCTGGCTTCCGCCTGTTGTTGTCGGCGGCTCGCCTTAACCCCCAGCAGAATTGGAAATAGACGGAAGTATCATAATTCACCCAAAGATCGAAGACAGAAGATTCGATATATTGGGGTTTTGATGCTTCATTTCCGTTTATTGACCCCGCCGTCGCCGCTGCCGCCGTCCAAATGCGAGCCTTGAGCCCCGACCAAGCCGAACCAAAGAACTGGAACCAGTTCACCAGCTTTGACCGCTGATCCCCCACCTCAATGCCCCTTCCCCATTCTATCCCAGCCAGAATTAGCAAGCCAATCGCATCGACCTGTTCTGCCACAAAAGAAAGTTGCGATCGCCGTGATTCAGCAGTTTGGGCAGCTTGTAACTTCTCAAGCGGTTTCGTAAATACCCCAAGGTTTCCGCAGACAGACTGGCTGCCTGTCAGGTACAATAAGTCTCCCAAGGCTGCTTGGTTCTTCGGCTCTTCGGCTCTTCGGTTCTTCAGCAGTGAACTGCAGCAGTGGCAACAGGGGCTGAAGGGGACTACGTAAATACATACATATGTACATATGTATGCACATAAATCACAGAAGCAACGCCAAAATTCGGAATCGAATTTTATCACGTGTCGAGCTCGAGTTCCAAAAATAACTGCGCATGCAAATCGAAACGAGCAATTAATTAATAACGGCACTTCATCTTCAGTCTCCGCTTTAGATTAGCATGAGCATGAGGGTTCCGAAAATACACATACTGCATACATCGAGAAACACTTCCGTTTGACCCCAGCCTCAGATTGAGCCCCAGCCCCCTATTCAAGGCGGAAACGCTAAAGATCTTTGTTCGGCTCCAACTATTATCGAACGGTTATTAACTAACAGTTGCCCCCCCATCAGACAGTCAGCCGACTTCCTGCTTGCCAAATCCAAAGCGATCAGCTCACGGCTGATCTACGAATGGAATATGCATTGACTGGCCGTCCGGTAGATATGGCTAGGGTTCTGCAACCAAATCGGGAACAGAATTCCGCATTATGCTGTCATTAGAGTGCGTCACATTGTCGGAATAATTAGAGCCCCACGCCCCATTCCCTTCCCCCAATATACACAGGTACCCATCCCATCCCAGCTGAGATGGCTGCTTGGATAGATGGCAAACGACTCTCTGCTATATATCACGATCACGTTAACCAAGGGAGTGGAGGGGGCTTGGACTTGGACGGTGCCCGTGTGTGTTGGCGGCCAGTGCTTGAGCTGAGCGAGCGGTTCATGGCTAGCCACTGGTACAAAGTCCAAAAACTCGAAATTCCACACTCACACACGAACAGAGACAGAGTCCGATTCAGGGGCAGAGCAAGAGCAAGAGCCAGAGACACGCAGAAACATGAATACTCGTACGTACATACAGTATTTCTTACAAAGCGCTCTATCATGCCAAAGATTCATTCACGAACATTCTGCGACAACTGGGAATTGTACAAAAATGGTACGCCTCCAACTGGTTCCGGGATGCACACAGGTGAGCGGCAGCGGATGAAACAGTTTACCAAAGTACTCGAAGATCGTCTCGATGTCCGATCAGAGTCAATGGGAAATACACAAGCGCTAATTGAGTATACTCGAAATAAATTAGCTTGGCCCACTCCACACACACACACACTTAAAGCACACACAATAAAGAAAGGGAACACATACACACATGGGAACTTGGCTCAAGTTCAAAGATCGACGCTGCGTTGTTACGTCAGGGACCAGGCCAGCGAAGAATTCTCAAAATAGTAAAAAAATACTAGTATCTCAATCAGCAGCCCAGCACTTGATCTTAATGCGAAGAACACTGACGTGAACAGGGTCAAAGAATAGGAGAGGAGACTAAGAAAAAAGCGAAGGAGTGGGGGAAGCTCTGCCCAGCATGATCTGTCAGAAAAATGAATGCTGAAAGTTGGCAAAGCTGCAGCGCGGCTACCGTTTATATCATCATTATTAGCATCCCAGCGTGACCTGTTTACGGAAAGCGAGGGGCAAAAGGAAAGAGTAAGGGTGGGGGGAGGAGATCAATGGAGAAGGGCTTCCCATTCGAGCTAGTTTTGTCACTCTCCACCGATCGCTCCCTTCTACCTTTAGAACCGGACAATCAGCTACGTCGCAGACAACGCTAATCTTCTGAATGACACTG